AGATGCCGCCAAGAAGCTGACCGCACTTTTGGACACTGTTAACATAGGGCTTCCTTTTTTTTTGGCACAGTACAGTTTTCATTGGCATTTGTGGATGCAACTACATATTAACTAAATAGCTGTTTTATCCTAAAATGTTTACTGTTAAATGTACAGTATGTTCTGATCTATTATTATTTTTGTTAAAAATGAATGTGATATTAATTATATATTAAATAATAATATGATATATTGAATTAAAATGTGATATATTGAATAATAATATGATATATTATTTATAATTTAATTAATTAATTTATTTATTTATTTTACTACTACTGCTGTTTATTGTGGTTTACTATATATGTATGTTTTTTTATTTTTATGTCAACTTTATAACTGCTTTGGCAATACATCTGTAATATTTGTCACGCCAATAATGAAATTATTGAATTGAATTAAGAGAGAGAGAGAGTGAGAGTGAGAGAGAGAGAGAGAGTGAGAGTGAGAGAGTGACTATGTATGATTTGTTATTGCTTTGGCAACATTGTGATTTGTTTTACAGTCATGCCAATAAAACTCTTTGAATTTGAGAGAGAAAGAGAGAGGGAGAAAGGGGCTGTTTCTCAATTCCAAGAACGCAGAGAACGAACTTTTTGTGAAGTGTCCTCGGAAGAACGAACTCGGAAAACCACGAGAACAGAGAACGCATCCTCTGAGGAATGAGATGCTGCGTTCTTCCTGATGGTCACGTGACCTTTACGGGTTTTAAATGGAAAATTATTTAAACATTACAGCGTTCATACAACGATTCCTTGTTTTTCCCCTTTTCAAAATATATACTATGCTTAAAAACATTATAAATATGAGTTGCACAATATAAATAAAACATTTTTTAATATGAATTTCAGCAAAGGAAACACAATTAATGTGTTTATTCCTTAATGTTTATATTCACTGTTTCAGTTATATCTAAGTTAAATAAATTATATCTCTGAACTTTAATAATAAATCTAAATAAAATGCTGTGCTTTCCAACTCCAGTGGCAATGACTTCTGGGACTTCTAGAGCGAGATCGGTGCTCAAGTCTGCATAGGTGCGTCCGCGATATCAAAAACACATCCGGGAAGTTTCACTCGTCCTCTGTTCTTGCGGTCTTGAGTATTGGAACTGAACTTTGTCTGTTGATGATGACGTTACACGAGAACATGAGGACGCAAGACCGCTGTAGAACGCATATTGAGAAACAGCCAGGGAGAGGGAGAGAGAGAGTGAGTACTAGTCTTCCAACACATTCCAAAGCACAACCTCTGAGAGGCTGTTCTGTGTCCAGGGGCCGACTCTGGGGCTGGAGGTAAAACTGAGGGGCTGTTTCAAAAGAGCAAAGAGGTCGGTCCATGAACACACACTTGAAGTACTGTCCACTAAAACACTTAACCACTCACGTGCACAGAACAGAATAAACAGCTGAGCATATGGATAAACTCCCACTGCAGAAGTGAGCACATGTACTTGTATGATCACATATTGGCTAGATCACTTGGCATGGAGATCATGTTAGTATGATTTATATTGATTTAGTTAAATTCCAAACACAATGTACACAAGTTTAAATACACTGAGTGCAATGATTTGAGTTGGTAAAAGACCACAATCATATTCACTTAATGCTTTTATAAACCTTATACACTGTAAACAAATCCTGGTTGCCTTAAATTTTTAAGCTGAATCAAATTAACCTTAAGAGTCCATTGAACTTATATTATGTTAAACTGACTTAAAACAGCTTGTGCAACTTATAAAATCAAGTTAGAACATGATTAACTTAGTTTAATAAGTTACAATGACCTAAAAACATGCTGTCGGGACTAACTGGTCATATCATTTTTTACAGTGTCAGCAGTGCGGTTTTCCCCGCCCAGCGATTTTAATTGACAGGCTCATATTATAATGTCCTAATTTTAACGCATATCCCAAGGACAGGATTTGCTAGTAAACTGGGATTAAAAGATCTGTTACCGCAACAAGAAATACATGGTACACTTAAATAAAGATGCCTATACAATTCATAACCACTGAAATCACAACAGTGTCAGTATAAAACAGGGGCGGACTGGCCATCTGACAATTCTGGCAAATGCCAGAAGGGCCGGACCATTTTTTAAATGTGGGCCGGTCAGGTTTTTTTTATTTATCTTTTATTTTTTTTTAAATGTATTGTTTTTACATGCTTTTACAAGCTTTTATCTCTTACAAGATGTGATATTATGATGATGATGATAATAATAATAATAATAATAATAATAATAAATGTTGCGCATTTGGTCCAATCGGCGACGGCCGGCTGGTTTTGAGAGGGGCCGAGTAAAAACTATAAACGAGGATGCTTCTTCAATCAAATAACGCGAGTCACAGTTTGTGTACATTAAATTAGGTTTTGTACAGAAATACAATGGATTTCTATCCATCAGCATATATTTACTTGCATGGCAGGCATTCTACGTTTTACTGTGAGTAGATGTGCTAAAACAGCACAACATGTTAAACATGCATGCATGTGCATGTGTGTGCGCACTGTGAACTTTATAGTTCACACAAAAGGCCATTCATTTTTGCAGAAAGGCTGAGTAAACTCCACAACAAGTACATCAAATAACCACTGGCTAACTTTCTGCTTCAGTCTTACTGTGGTATGTATGATCTCTGTGTCATCCATGTCTGAGTCTGACGTTTTGCTGTGTTTGTCTGACAACTGATTCTGGGTATTTTAATCTTAAGTGACATCCAGCTCATTTGCATTTAAAGGCACAGGTGCAAAACAGCTCAAATTTCCTCTAATCCCAACATTTACAGCAGGCAATGATCTGTCAATATTATCTGATGGGAATTTTGAGTTGATACTTTGAGCTGTTCCCTCTACTCGTCTGTCGTCCATGGGCAGCAGAGCATTTAGCCGCTCTGCTCCCCGGCTTTGGAACTCACTACCACCTGCCATCAGAAATATTGACTATTACATTATGCAACACAAGACTCAAATCTAATGTATTTAAGGTGGCTTTTAATACTTAGTTGTATCTGCACTATTGTTGTGTATACTTTTATATTATTTCTCTCGCTGTCTTACTGGTCTTGTTTTATTGTACGATGTCTTTGAATTGCCAGAAAGGCACCATTTAAATAAATGTATTATTATTAATATACTTCACAGACACATTTTGTAGACACCACATACTTATTTTACATATTGTAGAAAGGGAAAAATGGGAGCCCTTCAAAATATACCCCAAAAAAAAAATTTAAATAACAAATAAGTGTAAATAAATGTAGTTAAATGCACTTTAAAATTACAAATATATGTAAATGTGTTCAAATAATTACTATGACATATGTAAAGGCATTTTGTCAGTATACTGATTATTAATTAATATTACAGTATTTAAACATATATTACGATTATTTATTTGTATATGAAAAGTTTAGATGCAAAAACCTCTAAATGCCATCTGAAACTTCCAAAAAAAATGAACTTTTTTCTCAGCCTCTTTTGTTTATTTTGAAATATTTCACTTTATAACCAAGAAAAGTACTTATTCTTTGCCATAAAAGTTATATTATTGAACATACCAGATATTCTGAACTGCATGTTGCAACCAGTGGAGGTTCTGGGCAAAAACATTTTTTCAGAATACAGTGGCCTAGCCCACCAATAAATTCAGTGTTTAACCCTTTAACTGCCCCACCAAGAAAAAAAAATGTTAACTCCTAATTTTTCTAGTTAACACACTCAATTTGTTTATTTTTTTTAACACATCCCATAATTTCTAAAATATTAGCCTCTGTTAAATGGTTGATATGTCCGTTTATGGTAAAAGTACCGGAATTACATATCCTATGCTGAATATACGAAGTGTAAGACCAATTTAACTAAAACATAATCAAAATAAAACATTTTTGAGAACTAAATTATCTTTATTTTTGAAGCATGCCAAAACATATTTCAGATTTTCCTTTGGGCTAATAGATGTCTAAGAATAGAGGAAAACTAGACCAGTCATCAAATGTCTATTTGACGACTACTCTATTTTTAGGGTATTCTTAGAGGTCTATTACTTTTTCAAAGAGAGCCCAAATTTAGCCTTTTTTGTGTATGTTTTGATGTTTATTAGACACTTATTAGTACTCTTTTAAAGACACACATACAAAAAAAAGTTTGCTGAGAAATCTCCTAAAGAGTGAGACAGGATTTAGCATTTTGTTTTATTTAAGTGGATGCTTTGTTTGATTTCTATTTACTGTTTTTCCTGCTTTAGGCATGCTTACTCATTGCTAAAGAGAAGGAATCTATTGGGAATTTAGTCAAGTGAAACAGGATTAGTTTACTTAGTTATGCAGGAAACCCAAGTTTTGTTTACACTTGTGTGTTAATAAGTTTTGCTCCCCGAAAGCATTTTTTGAATTAAAGATGCATTTAATCTTGGAACAAATTGGAGGCTGAGTAAAAAGTCAAGAGGAGATTAAAGTTCATGATTGTTCATCAAATGTTTAGCACTGCTATTATCAGAGCTTCCAGAAGATATTTGATCATGAAAACATACTGGACTATGATTTATCTGCACAAGTCAAGTTTTTTTTTTATTTCTTTTTTTTAGGCATTGCTAAATCTGTTAGGTGATGCATGTGTTCAGTACCATATGTTGTGAGTCTTTGCGCATGTCAGATGAGAAGATAACGGTAAAGAGGGGGTGTGAGAGCTGAGTGATAAATTGAGCATTGGCCCTCCTGCAAACACCATATGATGTTTTGGCAGGAGCCTTGCATTTACAAAAGTGGTGAGATTTATTGTCACCACAGTTCTTCTGACAGTTATTAATATATCTCATTAGTACTTTAACATCTGCCTCAGTATAGATTTGTTCTCTTGTAAGTTCCTTGATTATACAAACTTCAATTTCCTCTTATTTTTATTGATTTTTTTTTGTTTTGTTTTGCTAACGGTCAGTCTTATTTTGTTTTCCAAAAGGCTGGAATGATCCGTACTGATTCTGATGAGTACTTCATTGAGCCTCTGGAGCAAGGGACACAGGAACACGAGGAGAGAGGAAGAGTACATGTAGTGTATCGAAGGTCTGCGGTATTGCAAACTCCTTCAGACATCTCTTTGGATTACCAGCCAATCGGTATGTACTACTTGATTATTAAAGTCTTATGTTTATCTGTTTATTCTAGCCTTGTCCCATTTCCTGTGCATGCCTTAGGCCTGGCATTTTCCTGCTGCATGTAGATGGTTTTGTAATAACGCTTAATTTGTTTGATGTCAGTTCAGGAATTCAAACATTGTTGCTGTTTATTGATGAGTCTAACAGTTTAATTAAACTCAGTCAACATTATATAATTTATATAATATAAGTTTTTGATGTTCATATATTTGCACCTTATTTATATTTGATTAAGTTAAATATCTCTTTTGGTAAAGCATCCATATGCATTTTTCTAAGTGAGCATTATTTTTGAACCTTTACTTTAGAATTTCTGAAAATAAATAATTGTAACAATTGTATTTTTCCCATACAGTGTCAATGATTGCTTGAATGTCTGGATTTAGGGACTTGCTACTACACTCTCAGAAATATAGGTATGCGAGCTGTCACTGGGGTGGTACAAAAGTATATATTAGTACATAATCATTGGAAGAGGAACACTTTTGTACCTTTTAGATACTAATATGTACATATAATATGGATCTTTTAAAATTTGTACCCTTTGAAAAGGTACCACCTCAGTGACAGTTTGCTTGCCTTTATTTCTGAGAGTGTAGAAAGTAGCAACATTTTTTTAAATCATATAAACATTTAAATTTATATTTATTAATTTTTTAATATACTTGTTGTGTTGTTGAATAGCATTGAAAAAGTGCTTGTTTAGTGCATAAAAAGAGAGAGAAAAAATTAAATGAATAAAGAAAATATTTTGTTTGGACTAAAACAGTTACCTTACTGTATATTTTTTCTCCAGTTGCCACCAGACAGGTGGAGAGTTTGTTTTGTAGACACCCAACTTGACACTGGTAGTGTTCTGTTAACTCTGTTAAAGTAAAATTACTAAAACTAAATATATTAAAATATATACCCTACCTGACAAAAGTCTTTTCGTCGACCCCAGTTGTAAGAGCAACAAATAATAACTTGACTTCTAGTTGATCATTTGGAAAGGTGGCATTAGGTCATTTTTTCCAATGAATTACTATTGAAGTGCATTCCAATCATCACAAATACTGCAGAAGACCTATTGGAACCCACATGGATCAAGTTTGGTGAAGAAAAAATCATGGTTTGGGGTTACATTTACTATAGGGCATGCAAGAGATTTGCAGAGTGGATTGCAGGATGACACTCTTTCTCATACTTCAGCCTCCACATCAAAGTTCCTGAAAGTAAAGAAAGTCAAGGTGCTCCAGGATTGGCCAGCCCAGTCACCAGACATGAACATTATTAAGCATGTCTGCGGTGAGATAAAGGAGGAGGCATTGAAGATGAATCAAAAGAATCTTGATGACCTCTGGGAGTACTGCAAGAACGCTTTCTTTGCCATTCCAGATGACTTTATTATTCAGTTATTCGAGTCATTGCAGAGAGGTATGGATGCAGTCCTCCAAGCTCATTGGAGTAAGACATAATATTAATTCTTTTTTCACTGCACCATGACTTTATATTCTATACTGTACATTATTTATTTATTTGTCCAAGCAAAGTCAGCCCTTACTGTCCTAATTAAATAATTAAAAATCAAGGCATGATCATATTTAATTTAGGTAAAATAAGCATAACCAAAAGGCCTTTATCTTTCATATAAGCCGCTTTTGATGCTAAATGATCAACTAGAAGTCAAGTTATTATTTGTTGTTCCTAAAAATTGGATAGGCGACAAGACTTTGTCTAGTAGTGTAAATGTGTTCTCAAAATAAAACCGTTGATGAAATGAACTAAAACGAAGCAGAAATGTATAGCAAATAAGAATAATAAAAAAAAAAAACTGAAATAAAAGCAAATGTAGTTATGCAAAACTATAATAACCTTGGTATGATATAGTGCTACATGCCAGACAGTCTGAAGTCAGTCACTCTTTGTAGGTGGCCCAGTCCATTACTGATGAACAGCCACTTCGCCAACCAGATCACACAAATCTTTTTACACACTACAATTGAATGGTGTCAATGACTGACAGCACTTTCAATTCTCAGCCAACACTTTTTTTGTTGAAGTAATTTTATAATCACATTGGGACAGTGGGGGGCTCTGGGAAGTCAAGCCCCTTGTGCAGTCACGACCTTTCGAGATTTCCTCTCAATTCAGTCGCCTCTAAAGGGTCAAGTGCTTGTGTGGTTGTAGCGGTTGCTATGACAATGTAGTGGCATTCCATTGTGCCAGGTGGGAAGCATGACGTAGGCGGGGATGATTATGCTCTCGCTCCTGTTGCTTAGATAATTACAGCTTTATACTGATAAGAGGAGGACAACCCTTCTCTTTTTGGTCAGTGAACCATGGATATATCCATTATCGAACCGACTGTGACTTTTCACTTACAACTTGTAAAAAAAAAAAAACAACTATGTGAATTCCGTAAAACACATTAGCCATTTATATAGACAAACTTCTCATGGAACTAAGCTCTTTCAGATTTAAGTTGCTTCCCTGTTGAAAATACAAGAATTTAAACTACTGTTTATCAACTAGTAGGTCGCGATCCAAAAGTTTGTCACCAGACCACTTCTGTTGGTTGCGGTTCAAGTAAAGAGAGCCTAAGTTAATGTTGTTTTCATAGTAATTATTATTATTAAGTTAAAACCTTATAACTTAATAACCACTGCAGTAATGAAAACCAATTTGAGACTACATTTCATATCATAATTGTATACTATATATTTATCTTTATTTGTCATATTAGGTCCAAAACTGTAAACTAAATTGGGTGTTGAAACCATCACACCATTAAGGTGTTATGATTTTTAAGGTAATGATTTTTTTTTATTTTTTTTTTTAACAAAAAGCTAAATAATTGTTGTGCAATAAGATATAGGGTTGTTAACTGACAAGAAAACAAGCCTGGACTATGCTTCTACAGATTTCCTTCACAGCACGAATAGCCAGAAAAGACAAAAGTATAGATTTGTGCCAAACAGCAGCATTACAGACCCATAACAATCTGGTACCTATACTTTTGTATGTTTTCATACTGTTCCAATCATAATGAACCAGTTAAGTGCAATTACAATATGAATTGAAATGTAAAGCCTAAATTGCAGAAGTTCAATTACCAGCAAATGTTGATCTAATAAAATAATATTAATAAAATACGAATCTAAGAAACAGACCCCAATTGTAAAAGACGACTCGCGGTTTACTGCTGACTGAAATGCTGATGGATTCTTCAAGACAGATGTACTAAACATTGCTGAATTGGAACTCTGGCAGGAACCTAGTGGTTTTAAATGACTGAAATAAGGCAAAGGGTGTTGCATATGGATCGCAAGTGCTCACAGTTTACAGTCTGTGAACAATATTTGTAGCTTAAAACAGATGGAAATCTGTCCAGCCTGTGCTGTGTTTCTATAGAGAGCCCAGTGTAGCTTCCAATATGGCCCATGTTTTTTTTCTGCACAGGTCACTTTCAAACTCTTATCAGGTACTAGGTCTCTTGTTTGGTCTAAAAGTGAAAAGAAAGTTACCACCAATGTGGTGCTTTGTCTCATAAATCTGATTGCAGGCATATGTCACTTCGTCTGTAGAGTTCAGGTCAGGGCCTCTGCTCTCCCTCTTCACCAAGAGTAGCGATCCTTCCCAAGGTGAACATGCGTAGAGTGCTAAGAAAAGACCAAAATGTTGATCAGGTTACATTTGCAAGTGTGCAAATGTTCAAACAGTTGCTCACACTATGTAGCATGATGATAACACCAAAATTAAGGTCATTTGTTTGATTCTCTGTCATTCTCTTAGATAAAAGCATCTGGCCATTGCATGACTATGAATGGTTTTGGCAGAAGGTCTGAATTGCATTGCATCCAATTTGTTTTGTTTAGTATCATGTCTCCTGTACAGTAGGTGTGTGGAAATATTAAGTCAATGTTCCTGCAATAACAGACCGGCGTGATTCTGTTTCTACTAAGTGCCTTATTCAAAGCTCTTGGATAGCTGTGAATGTCACACTTTTTTAAAAAAGCATTTAGTTGATCCTCATGATCCTTATACATTTTTTTTTTGTTTTGTTTCAGTTCCAAGCATGACTGTGGTTTGGTTTCACAATTTCTTTGTTTCAGACAGACTGTGAAAGAATTTGATACACATCATCCGGAAATCCTGTAGAATTTAAGCCATGTGATTATGACTTTTAAATGCCTTAAGTGTTTTCCATTTTATGTGCCTAACTTATCAGTGGTGTGATTTCTAAAGCTACACATATAATCTTGCAGGGCAATTGATTTATTTTAAATTTATTCCAGCAGAAATTTAATAAGTGTGGCTGAAACTATTTAATGATATTTAAAATGTATTTTTCCTAAATTATTGTATCTGGTCAGACTACACAAACATAATTCCCATGTCAGACTGTAAGATCTCGGTTGTCATGATATCAAGATGTGTCAAACACAGACAAGCAAGAAAACTCCTCTGGAGTTTGGCATCATCCATCTTTGACAGATTCAGTAATTCACATTCTAAAATAATTTCACACAGCAAACAAAAACAATTAATAGTGTTACATTTTCTTAAAACAAACCTCAATTATAAAATCAGAAAAAAGCTGTTTTGACAATTCCCTGTAGTGGCTAAAAGGTGTGCCAATTGAGTCATCAGATTCAGCTCTTAATTCTTGGTTATTGGCTGTTGATTCTTGGTTTTATGCTCATTGTAGCTGAAGTCAAACTACAGGCAAGGGTCTAAAATCTTCCGACACTGCCAAAACTTTGTCAGAAGGAAGATTTAATTGCAACAAGCATTAATCAACTGTCACTGAACATGTCAAACTATCGATCAAAGACCACAGATTTTAGTCTAGGATTATGTGAATCTTTTAGGATTTCCCAGATTTGTCTCAGTTGACTAAATTGTGGCTTACATTGCACAGTGTGAGCATGGCATTTACATACTCTCAGACTATCCTAATTTATATATATTTCTGGAAC